GTCTGGGTGTGCACATGCGTACACACACACCACACCCAATGACTGTTGGCAGAAAGACACCGATGTTGGAGGAAATGTTAGGATTCTTTCTGTTCTCTGAGATGTCTGGTGGAGTTTTCTCTCCTGGGAAGTAGACAACTATCTGAGACCACTGAAAAACAGTGAAGAGAATGGCCCTTAGGTCAGCCTGGTGGCCATAGAGCGACAGCCACCTGCTTCCCCCTACTCAAGCTTTTCTTGTTTCCCTAAAACCAGGTTCACCTGGCTGGGCTGGGATAAGTGGGTTCTGGCTTTTGAGGTTAGAAACAACATTTCTTTGTCAAGCACAGAGGGAGCCCGAAACAAAATCACAGTAGTTATTTCTTGTGTGCTGTGTTGAAAAACAAATATCTTTTCTTTTTTTTTCTTACTGCAAATATCTAGGTATAAGATTAAACAATGCACATTTCTTCCCCTTCTCCCCCCACTTAGGGCACTCAAAAGCTCACCCAGTCTTCACTTCAAAACCATTCATATGCCAAGGAAAAAACATTCAAATCTGTTCTGAAATTTCCTAACGCCACTTCAGATCCAAGTAAGAATCATTTCATTTGTAAAGCATTTAACTTCACTGTCTCCTGTTGTTTTTACATGTATAGGTGTTTTGCATGCATGTATGTCGGTACACCACATGTGTGCCTGTTGCCCAAAAAAAGGCCAGAAGAGGGCATCAGATCCTCTGAGAATAGAGTTACAGCAACCATCTTGTAGGTGCTGAGAACCAAAGTTGGGTCCTCTGAAACACTCTTAGCCACTGAGCTAGCTCTCCAGCCTCTTGCCTCCTTTTACTTTAATGACATTTACTTAATATCCAGACAATTTTAAAAGCTTTTAAATACTTTTAAAATTGTTTTGGCAAGGGTTAAAACAAATAATTAGGTTATAACATAAACTTTGAAATTATTGACTTAATACTTTGGAAGAGTAAATTAGGTGATTTTAACCCATTCAAACAGTTTGGCCTTTAAACCATAAGGTAAAAATATGTACTAACAAGGTTAGAACACAACCTTCATGACAGAGGAAACAGGGTCTCACACATTTTTCCTCCTGTTTTCTCTTTGGAACAGACTCTGTTAAAAATCTATCCCTAATTGAATCAGCTACTGCCTTTTCTTCTAAACCATCACAAAAATGCTTGCTTGAGAAAATTGATGTCATAACAGGAGAAGAAATGGAACATAATGTGTTAAAGGTTTGTATGCTATGCATTACTTTTTCTAGTATTATATAGACTAAAGTCAACATCAGCATAGACATCTTCAAAAATAGCTAGAAATAGAGTTTCAGAAAGACTTAAGTTGTTTGAATAAAAACTATTTGTGGCTTGTAAAATTTCATTGTTAAACCAAGGCAATGTTAATCTTAAATTCTCTCTCTCTCTCTCTCTCTCTCTGTGTGTGTGTGTGTGTGTGTGTGTGTGTGTGAGAGAGAGAGAGAGAGAGAGAGAGAGAGAAAGAGAGAGAGAGAGAGAAGGTTTACAATCACCCATTCTGTTCTGGAAGAAGAAAAAGGCAATGAGCCTAAGTTTAGGATCCTCTTGCTCTAGCTTCCCGCGCTCTGGGGCTTGTATACATGGTGTTCTAGGATTCTGTCTTAAAATAACTTCAGACACCTACTTTCTACTTCCCATGTCTGCTCTCACAACCAGTGCCATTACTATGATCAACTCTATTAATCCTGAAAGGTGACTTGATTCCAGTTTAAGATAAAAAACTTTTCTGTTATTACTGTTGTTTACTAAAGTGTAGACTTTTGCATAAATCAAGAACTTCACAGATGGATGCTGTATCTGATTGGGGCTGTGGTGTCAGGGACTCTCTGTGGCCTCCATGTTGTTAAAAGGCACCAGTCCTCCCCGGTCATGCTTCATCTTCTCCCACACTCTCTCCACTCCCCCTCATTTCCACTATGACCTAAGGATACTTTTACTCCAAATAAGTGCATCTCAAGGTTTAATTCTGGCCTAACTGAAGTAACTGTTAGAAGTCAGTCCCTGGCACACTGCACTTTCATTTGAATATGCAAGATGACGTCTTATGCACGGGAGTATTTGATAACTGGCAACCATTAAATTGCCACAAGGGTCCCTGTCTTACCATGTCATAGCTCTCCATGTCCGTGTGCTGGGCTCGAAATATTTTAGCATGCAAATCCATGATTCATTTCTTTCAAATAATATTATGTGGCCAAGATAAGATCAAATTTAATGCAGAAATTGGCGTATAGACACATAAGAAAGCAGCAAGTATACATGGTATCCTATAGTTTTAGAAAAAGATGAAAGCATATTTGTGTTGGTATGTATACCTATAACATCTCTGAAAGATATGTGAAATACAAGAGTTACAGGAGTGGAAGATGGAGAGCAAGGACTGGGAATCCTTTTCATTTCACGCCATGATGTTAGTTTTATATTTTTCCAGTTTGAACTATTCAGAGATTGCACACTCTTGAAAGTTAAATAAATCTCAAGTTGTAGTTCTTTAATCATCAACAAAGATGAAATAAAAAGACAAGTCAGATACAAAAGCATTAGGGCACAAGAAATAATTTAATTTGAAAAAATTTTAATATATCTGACATTTTAAACAATTGTCATTTAGATCAACTGCAAGATCTTTGTATTCACCAGAATAACACAATCCTGGACTGAAAGAGGCCGAGGAATCCTGAGGCTGAACGACATAGCAAGCAGCGACTGTGGGACACTACAGTCAAGACTAAGTAAGAAACAATGCTGGAAGGACAATGGGTAAAGTCTCTCATGAAGATTCTCACTGCTTTCTGCAGATGCATTGCCAAACACACCAATAAATCTGATGATGGAAAACGATTTTTAATGTACTCTCGGAGCTTCCCATTTCAGCAAAGTTCACCTATCAGACAGCATGGGTTCAAATTTTTCCTCCACCACCTGACTAGCAACCCCAAAGAAATGGCTTGACCATATGAATTCAAATTGTGAACAACTGTAGTCTGTGGTCTTTTCAGTGTTTGTGAGAATTTACTGAGATACTATAACTCAAGTCTTTTGAGCAGCTGTGAAAATCTAATGAGATTCTGTGTGGAAAGCACCTGTGTCAAAGCTAAGCCCACACCTGAACAGTGGTATCATCAGCATCAGAAGGGGTATAAGGCAAATAGCTTTGTAATGTTCAAAGTTTGGGGGAAAGAAATACTTGACACATAATGTATCCTTGGCATCCAAACACGGTGTGGAGCTGGGATGAGGGGTCAGCTTCTGAGGAAACAATTGTAACTGTTGCGTCCTGCAGCAAAAGGGTGATCAGGAGCTGGGGAAAGATTTCAGATGTTTGGCATCCAAAAGGGCACACTGGCCTTTGTTTAGAGGCCCAAACCGCATATGAGCAAGGGTAGAGGACTGGTGTGGTGAATTATCTTGCCAGACAGTTCGTAGAAGTCAATGTTTTGAAGAAAATTACACATAGAATCTGGACCAGGGCATAGGAGGATTTGTTGAATTTCAAATGTCAAGCTCAAAAGCTGGAAAGGAATAGAATTCAGAACAAAAGACCAAGAACAAGGTTTTCAACTTTGTACTGGATAAACAGGTTGCTAAACAATGCAACCAGGGGTACTGATTGTTCTCTACTCGGGTTTACCTCTGCTGTTCGCCAGGAAAAACAATTAAGACCAAAATTTCCAAATACCTTAATTGTTGTTGTTATTATGTGGGTAATATGGGCTCACCACAGAAAGCAGCAAATAAGTCAACCAAAGAATAGATAAAATGTGTCAAGGTCTATCCTCTAGATACAGTGTTTACAGAACACATTCTGTGAATGTCCTTCTCTGTACACTTCTATGCAGACTGCAGTTTATGGTTCATGGTGCTATACTGATCCGGCATTTTCTACACAGTATTCCATGATTGTCTTTCCACATGAGAAGCTTTCTTCAGTACCGTTAGCGGATTTTCAGTATTCTCTTTAATGGCTGAGCTGTAATGGATCTGATTCAACATTTAGAACACTTAAACATTTGCTTCTGATTTTTTTCATTGTAAATGTTTCTTAGATAATCTTCATGTCACCAGGTCTTCAAAGAAGCCTTTTAAATTTAATAATTTAAAAATTCTACAAAAATAGAATTCTAATACTGAAATTAGAGTAAGTAAATACACAAACTTTCTCTAATATAAGGTCCAATTTTAAAACCGAGTTATAATCTAGCTAAATTACCACTCACTAGTGAAAACACAGCTTGAAAGACAACTACAGGATTAGTCTTTTCCTTAAAAGATTTTTCTTCCAGGTTAAGGCATTATGAACTCTAACGTGACTTGTTCATCTTCTTGTCATAGTCATGCGCAACCAAGGCAACCTGAGGCTGGTCCTCAACAGCAGACTCTGGACCCAGATGAAGATTCAGAGAGCAAATCACAGAAATCTGCGAATGACTGCGACCGATTTAGAAGACGATGGTATAAAAATATTCTTAATTCAGGTAAGTTACTGATTTCAGTTCTGAGGGCGTCATCCTACTAATACAATAATTAGCCTCTTGCAATTTCTAATTCATTTTTGCATCATGTTAAAATAATCTGCACAGTTCAGCTAAGCCCTTGTGTGAAAAAAATAATCTGCATGGTTGGCAAAGAAATCTGTCACCCATTATGATTATTGACAGTTTAATATGGCCTAACATCTATTCAAATTGACACCAAAGTCAATATCAATCAGTTGGTCCTCATTCTAAGACATTGGATGTTACCACCTAGCATTTCCTTTCCAACTGAAATTATGTCAATATGCGCATGAGTTCCCAGTGTTTACATGGTCACAGTGGCTCCTAGGAGGTCAGCAGAGTCTTAACCTGCCACTGGTGCCGTTACCCAGATAGAGGAGGCTTTGTGGTCACAGCAAAGCGTCCAGTGAGAAATGGAAAAGCACAAGACCAGCATGTCACAACCAGTCCAGTAACAAATTCCAGTGCCAGACATGAGAAAATCTCCAGGGTAACGCAGGGAAGCACTGCTGTTCCCTGCAGCAGGAATGCCTGACCTCAAATACAAGACACAGATCCAAGAGAGCTGCCAAGAACACAGCTTTCTTCCTGCCACCCCCAACCTTCTATCCCCAACTGAGTTTTCCCCATAGCCTGAGACTTGGAAGATTTGAAAAATAGGAGAAGCCAAATGATATGGAAGTAGATAATAATATAAGTGGATAGACTTCCACTAAAAAAAGAAGAAAAAACAGTATGTGACAAAACCCCAAATTTTATTAACTTAAAGTGCTTCATCAGGTATACGTGACTTAGGTAGTAAAGTGTTAGGAAAAGTTCAATCAGCAGCAATACAAAAAACCAAACAAACAAAAAAGTAAGATGCTAAAATGATTAAGTCCTCTTTGTCATTTAAGGACGTAATATCCCATCCCACTGGTTTTCGTTGGGTAGAGCATGGTGGAGAAACTGAGGTTGCCTCTCTTCACCATTACCAAAGCTTGAGCCATGCTGGTTTTTAAACTATGGCACATTCTCAAGAGACAAACAAAGGAAATACAATAAAGATCATCTGTTGTGAACGCTATCAACATTTCAGTCTTACACTAATAGGTTAAGCATCTTTGATTTAAAAATTTGAAATCCAAAATGTTCCCAACTCCAGTTTTGGAGCTTCAACATGGAAATTTGAGCAATCTTGTGTGACAGGTCCCAGTCAGCACACAGGCACACAAACACATTGAAGAAAATTCCCTATAGGCTGTGTGGACAAGGTGTAGATGAACCCTAAATAAATTCTATGATTAGATTTGGGGTCTATCCACAAAATATCTTAGTATGTATCTGTAGATATTACAAAATCAGGAGAAACTAAATGTGTACACATCCATATATATGTGCACACTGTACAATTGTATGACCTCCAAATTTCTTAGGTTTCATTAAACTGACTTACATGCAAAATGAAGGCAAAAATAATATACTTTATAAAACTGCTGAGATTAAAATGAAATGATGCACATTACCTTTTCTTAGTGTGAATGAGTGTTTTAATGCTGTAACTAGACACGTCCCTTTATTTTTCTCGGCAACAGTTTTCTCCTTTGTAAAAGGAAGAGGGATGAGTATGTCTGGACCAGTTGTTTTTGTTTTACAGCTAATGCTACACCAGTTTTAAGCTACTGCTGCCATCATCGTTATATTAATGACAACCAAAATTAGCTCCGAGACGTTTTGAGAAGTACGATGTCTGAAAATGTCACCATTCCTCCGGAGCTTTGCTTCCCACAAAGCTGCGTGGGTTGGAGGGTGGGGTAATGGAGTGATGAGAAGAAGCAGCAGGCCCTTTCCTCTGAGCATGAGCAGAGAGGAACCATCTTAAAGGTCTCACTTCAAAGAGAATTCTTAAATTACAAAACTGCATTTGCTCCACTTAAAATGTATGGATTGAGCTCTCACAACAGTACTCACTTTGGGATACAATCTGGCGTAAAATGAATCAGCTTTACTTTTTAACATGTTGGGCTCTGGGCATTTATGTACCTTCCAGATTTATGTAATACAATTCTGTCCTTTAGAAACAGCGAGAGATAAAAAGAGATGTAAACATAGCTACATTATCCATTTCTCACAAAGGCTAGTGCCAAAGACATAGGCTATCTGTACGCAGCGATCCATCACCGCCTCGTTGCCCTCCGAAGCCTCAGGAAGCACGCTGACAGCGATCCTGCTGAAAGCCAACCGGATACAGTTCTCCAGCAGTTCAGCTGTGACGAGGACGAGGAGGACTTCGTACAAGTCACTAAAAATGGATCAGGTAAATAACTCTTGTTAGGTCAGAAGCCCAAAAGCATCATTGTGAGCATAGTCCAGTCTTGGGTTGCTTTAAGTGAGTGGTGGTTGGGGCCTGGCTGTTTGTATCCAGGAGAAGGTTGGAAAAATCTGTTATCTCCGAGGGGCCTTCAAGTTGGCAATCTTGTGACAGCTGCAGGTCATTTGCCTATAAATTCCAAAAAAGACTTTGCTCACAATTTAAAGTATGACATTGCTACCTTGAAAGTAACCATAACTCACGCTCATTTTCTCACGGTTCAGCCTTTTATTGGCTACAGCTAGAGGCAACAGAAATGTATGCAATGGGGATGCAAGTAAATCTAGTTTTAAGTCCTGAAAATCGTATTTATTCCTCCTTTGGAATTTGATTGCTGAGAGAAACACCTAAAAGGCCTAAGTATTATCTGCAAGGTCCTCCTCTGACTAGGGCAAGAATGACTACACTTTAAAACTGGATCCCAATTCACAAATGAACCGAGGCTGAACAGAATTAGCAGCAAGATGATTTTTAGATTTTACTGTTTGTCCTGAAGTGTGGATTTAAATGTAGCACCCTGATACCACTATTGATACCACTGATACCACTATTGGTGGGGCAGAGTGCCCAAAACCTAGTAAGCACTGCTGTGTTCTGTGGACGTAGCTATTCTAACAGAGCCATCCAGTCATTTTCAGTGCCGGCTTCATTCACTCCAACTCTGTCTCTAGGGACCTGGCAATGGAAATGGTCATGTGAGGAACATTTGCAACTTTCAATCATTCGAAAATCTTAAAGGTTCCCTAATTATACATAATTTTAAAAATGATCAAAGAACATATAAAACAGAATGAAAGACTTTTCTTAATTATTAAAATTATAATTAAGAGGAAAATTCTACCGTGTGTTCAGATTAGCTTGTTTGATTCAGTATATGAGTATGATTTTCTACTTTAAACAAATCTATTGAACAAAAGGTTTATGATTCTCCACATTAAATGAAATAAATAAGTACATTATCTTTCATATTACAATGTTTATATTGTCCACAATAAAATGGATTCTACTAGAAAATGTCAATACGAAATAGAGATGAAATGGCAAAATTTAACTAATGAGACACAGTTTGAAACTTTTACTTTAGGATAGGGCTGATTGGTATGCAACCATGTGATTATTAAATAAATGGAGATAAATAAATAAATAACTGTCAATCACAGGACCCTCCTTCTGCTATTGTTCCCCTTCTTCAGGAGCTATTGCAAACTATGCTAAAATGTTATGGAAACTATAAAATGCCTGTTTGGATTTTGTTGCCCATGAATTAAATAACATTTGTCAGAAAATGTCACTTTTAAAATTATTAGTCACATTGTTGGTAAGATGGCTCAGCAGGAAAAACATGTGTCACTCAAACCTGACAACCTGAATTTGAGCCGCAGAGCCCATGTAAAGGTGGAAGGAGAGAACCAACGTCACAGAGTTATCCTCTGCCTCCATACACATGCCTTAGCACACGTGTGCGCCCCATGTCCCTCCCTTTCTCCCTCCCTCCCTTCCTCTCTCCCTCCCTCTCTATGTCTCTCTCTCTCTCTCTCTCTCTCTCTCTCTCTCTCTCACACACACACACACACACACACACATACACACACACACACACACACACACTAATGATGATAAACTCAAAAGCTGCAAAAGAAGAGTACACATGAGCTAAAATCAACCACACTTGAAATAGGTGGGAATGAAAATTATTAGCAATATTTTCTGACATTATTTAAACATATATTTTTATCTTTCATTTCTTTATCACTAAGCTACTTATGTTTATCTGCATTTGATATTAAGTCTAAATACGACATCACGTAATGAAATATTTTACGTTCGCCACAGGCCCTTCAAGGTGGAACTACAGACAGTCAGTCGTCTGTTCATAGCGCTCTCCTGTTCCCAGCGCTCTCCTGTTCCCAGTGCTCTCCTGTCCCCAGCGCTCTCCTGTTCCCAGCGCTCTCCTGTCCCCAGGACAGCTACAGAAACTGTCACGCTCCTGACATGCCAGACTGCCCTAACCGAGGAGATGCTGCACATACCTTGAGGAGGTTTTTTTTTTTTTAAATTAAAGAAACACAATTTCTTGTAATTAAAAGTTTTATGTTTTACATTTTGAATATTGTGGACAGAATTTAAGAAATGAACTTCAGAAGATAAAAATTCATCCTAATCTAGAATAGGATTTAATAACTAATTTGGATAACTCATCATGTTGATGAATATAATAATTAAAAGTATAAATTGATACCTTGATAAGTATCTAACTAAAGTATTTATTTTAGTCATGCATTGTCTGGCTTTAGAAAAAAATACTTTACTAAATTTACAGTCATATCTTTAAAAGTATTATAGCTGCAAGGCATTTTATTAAATCATGTTTATCTCCCGAGAAATATCTATTCTCACTCACATGCTCAGTTTCCTAATACATATATTCAGGGAGAAATTCTCTTACAAAAATGTCTGCTCATGGACTTGTATCCATTGCATCTTATGTATCTGACTCACAGTCAGTACACAACTGTTGGAGAATAATGGAACAAAATGTAATATATTATCATGTGTCAAAAAATACAAAAGCTAAATATTAATGTTCTTTATTTATGTGATTGTCATTAATATAGTCTCGCAGTGTGTAGCTATGTAGAAACCCTTTTATAACAAATGTATCATATAAAGTCAAATGACTATCTCAAATTCTACCATTATGGTATAGTGATTTCAATATTTTTCAGAAGATGTTTTTATGCACTTTTGATATTTCAGAGACATTTTATGAAGCAAACATGAAAATCAGTCTCAGTACTTAGGGCCATATTTTATTTTATTGGTGGCCCTAAACAGTTCCATCCCAGGATAAAGATTCAGGATCCTAAACGGTTTCTGAATGTGATCTGAACCCTCACGTACATACTTGTAATGAGGTATGACTGCACAAACCGCTACACTGAGGTAACAGTTCTTTGCAAGCATATATCTGAATAGATATTTTAAAAGTTAACATTTCTTAATTGCCTTTGTAACAACAAAAGCATCCGCATGTACATATTTATCAACCAAACCTCAGCTCAAATCACAGTTTAGCATACTGCAGCCGAACAAGCTCTTAAGAGTAGGATTTGATTAATATGTTCAGAAGAAGAGAAAAGGGACACTGAAGAGAGAGAGGCAGTTCCATGAAAAGAAGTAAATTTAGATAATTAAGATTATTTCTCCTCTATCATCATTTATAAAAGCAACTCTGGTGCAGAACACACTCAGTGGATAATTCCTACTAGGAACATAATAGAGTCAGGGAGGCACTTGAAAGCACTGGTTCACCTATAAGACCTTAGCTTTTTGGGAACATTGCAATTATAGGATAATTGTTGAAGCAAGCGGAAAACAGAGGCTCCTTTATCTCTTGGCATGTTTCTCCTTGTTCCTATACTGGAATGGAAATGAAACAACATTTTGTCTGTGTGCCAACTATTTTACTATAAGTTGAATCAACTCTGATTTTCTCTGGTCTTCTGTAGAGATAGCAAAGGAGAAACAATCTTACTTGTGGCCTATACAGAAATGTCAGGAGACCCCCACGTAGGTTAGAATGTCAGCAAGGCAGGGACAGTGAAAACTTCTGGATCACGAAACAGTGACAAAGAGCAGAAACATGAGATATCATGCAACATTTCTTCATCTTGATTAAAAGAAAAATCTAGCCTTCCTCTCCCTTTTCTTGTTTTTGTTTTTGTTTTTTTCTACAAACTTTATCTCCTTCCAATAAGAGGTAACCAATTATACAATAATATCAATTTTCTTAAGTTATTCAGACAGGTGATTGCTAATCCTACATTCTGGATTTTCAGACCAGCTATTTTTATCAAAAACTTCTAATTTTATGTTGAATTAAGATATTTTAAGATCATCTAAACATTCTCTTTCAATAGTATTTACTCCAATTGTTTAGCTTCGTTATGACTCATTAAAATGTTTTCTGTTACCAAATCTTATTTTACATCCTTTATGACTTACTTTTTGTTGGTATGATAAAGCATCCAAATCAAGGGGACTTACAGAAGAAAGAGTTTATTTGGGCCTACAGTTCCAAAGGAAGAGTCCACAATGGTGGGGGAGCATTAACGCAGGGAGCCAGAGCAGGCAGTTGAGAGATCGCTTCTCTATCCACCAGGAGAAAGCAGAGCGAATCAGAAATGGGACCAGGCTAACCAGTCTCAAGGCCGAACCCCAGTGATGTACTTCCTCAAGGTTCTCTAATCTATCCACATGTTACCAACCAGAGACCAAGTGTTCAAATACTCAAACCTATTGGGGACATTAATCAATCAAACCACCACATCATCCGTTATTACCAAAGCAAGGTACCCTTCATTCCCAGTGAAAAATATCTACTCAAGTACAGGACTATATCAATGTTCTAAAGAGGGGTATGGAGCTTTTACAGAGGCACACATGCGTGAGTGCTGTGGAGACTGGAAAGAGTACATTTTAAGATACCTGGAAATCTCTAAGCTGAAGATATCAGTGAAACACGGCACTTTCATAAAATGTTAGGAACAGTAATATTTGCTTAAGACGTGGCTATCATGTACTTGCTTGGATCACTCGTTAGAAAACCACAGCTGGGCCTGAGAGCACACACCTTTAATCCCAGTACTTGGGAGGCAGAGCAGGCAGATCTCTGTGAGTTTAAGGCCAGCCTGGTCTACAGAGCAAGTTCCAGGACAGCCAGGATTGTATACAGAGAACCCAAAACCAAACCAAACCAAACCAAAAAAAAAAAAAAAAAAAAAAAGGAACGAAAACCACACCAGCTTTGCCATACTAAACCACTGGGATTAGAGTTTGCAATTCAGTGACTTTAAAATTTTCTTCTTGTCTGAAAGGTGTGAAACAGATATCCTGTCCCATGAATACCAGGAGTTTTGTATCAGATCATAACTCCCATTTATACTCTACTATACTGATTGCTTTTTTTTTAAAAAAATCAGACTTGAAGTTATCAAATTGAAATATAAGAACACATTAGAACTTCTAAGAAAGTATTTGTGAACTGTAGTAATGGTAGAACCATGGAAATGATTGATGAGTGGTTTAGCCTAATAAGGTCTTGATAGCTTGATCATCTTCTAACTAGAACTTCTTAATTTCTTCCAATCTAGGGGATAAAAACCATTCTACTCTGATCTCGATTTGTATCTTTCTGATTTTTAATATGGCTGAACATCTCTTAAGGGGTTTATGTGCTGCAAGTGTTTCTTTTGAGAAAATTTTAAGGATTTTGCAAAGCTAAGTATGCCTGTCCTTCTGCTGTTTTCTAATATGTAGAGCATAAAAGCCCAGGCCCTTAGCATGGATGTAGCTCTTTCCTCTGTCCCTGGCTGTAGTATTGTCTCCCAGTGTGGTCTACTGCTCACAATTCACTGGAAATTCAGAATAGCTGCTTCACTGGGTCTCTACACATTTGTTTGATATTTCTTCTGTAGAATTCCTTTCTAATTTGGGGGGTGGTTCAAGACAGGGCTTTTCTGTAGTTTTGGGGCTGTTCTGGAACTTGCCCTATAGACCAGGTTGGCCTCAAACTCACATAGATCTGCCTCTCTGCTTCCTGAGTGATGAGATTAAAGGAATGCACGACTACCACCTGGCTCCTTTCTCATTCTTGATGACACTAATGTTTCCTTTTGTTTTTAGAGCAGGGTTTCTTTGTAGCTGTGGAGCCTGTCCAGGATCTAGCTCTTGTAGGCTGGCCTCGAACTTACAGAGATCCGCCTGCCTCTACCTCCCAAGTGCTGGAATTAAAGGCATGTGCCACCACCATCTGGCAGACACTAATGTTTTATTTTTTTAAAGATTTATTTATTTATTATGTATACAACATTCTGCCTCCATGTATGTCCACACGCCCAAAGAGGGCACCAGATCTTATGACAGCTGGTTGTGAGCCACCATGTGGTTGCTGGGAATTGAACTCAGGACCTTTGGAAGAGCAGCCAGTGCTCTTAACCACTGAGCCATCTCTCCAACCCGACACTAATGTTTTAATGTGTGTTAGTTCAAGACATTTCCCGGATATCTTCCCTACCTCTTAAGCTGAATTGAAATCTGCTCCTCTGATTTCTTAGAAACACTCTGTAGAATTCTACTATTGTACAACTTTAGGGTCCCAAAGAACAAAGACCCTTTATTATTTGATTTCCGGCACCTGGTAGAATGTTCTATTCAAATATAATTTAGTGTTCACTAATAGGTGTTGCATATTTGAACTGAAGAGACATCCTATAGTAAGCTACAAATAAAGATCTGAAGTTAGGGAGAATGATATGGGCTTAAGACACTGGTAATAGCTGAAGTCATTTAAGACAAAGGAGGCTAACATTTGCAGGGTTTAATTTACAGTGGACATAGGGTTAGACGTTTATTCATTTATGGACAATGTTACGAGGCAGCTACTGTTTTATAAATGAAGAAAGAGGCTCAGAAAGGTTAAGCAATCAGTCCAAGGTTCACAAAGCAAATACACACTAAAGTTGGGACTTGAATCAGTATTTGAAGGCCCAGACTCTTCATTACACAACAGTGGATGAATTCACCACGAAGAATGGAGCCGGGGAGCAAGGGAGAGAAAGAACGCTTTAAGAGTCAATGGTAGGAGCTACATCTCAGAGATGGGTTTAGGAAGAACCCAAGAGAGAGAAATGAGAGGTCACTGTCTTGCTCAGAGTCAACAGCCAAATATTCCAGAAAGAATTGAGCCAATTCAGTGCTTCACATAACCAAGGGATTTAAGAATTAAATGCTAACTTCGGGGTTCCCGTCTGGTCATTTGGTAACTTTGGAAATAAGAGTAGTGAAGAAAACATAGGGAGAAGACAAAAGGTTGGTGGTTCCCACAATGATGGATTAGAAACATAAACCAACTACGTGCCCACCCCCTGTTCCTCACCAAAAAAAGAAAAAAAGAAGAAGAAGTTGGCAGCGTGAGTGTGTCGATGACTGATTAACAGGTTATTCTGTCCAGGATCTGTATGTAAAAGGGTGATAGGGGACAGGGAGACAACTGGGGCTTAGAAGGTTCTCTCATTCTTTCAAGTTTTTAATGTCATAGACATGGCTATGTTTAAGAACTTGAGTGGAATATCCAGCAGGGAGAGAGAATTCAAGATACCTCTGAGAGGATGTTTTAATGAAGCAATGCTTTGGGGGAGACAGAAGAAAGCATCCAAAGCAAGGTTTGACGAGGATATCCCATTGAGTTGTTTCTGGCTGGAAAGTAGGAGTCAACGCTGTAATTTTCTGGTTAGAGGTAATAGATCTGACATTACAGAGGCTCCTGAGACTCATAAATATGAAAGAGCGTGCCTGGAATCCAGAAGCCACTTCCTGGGGGTGCCAGAGCTGCAAAGCAAAGAGCGCAACAGCAAGGACGTCAGAGGCAGGTGCCGCATTACTAGGCTGTGCACTGTCCTAGAACTTTTTCTGCAGAGTAACTTTCCCTTCTATTCGCAGTATTCTTAGACCAGCCTAGATTTCTATGGTTGTGTAACTGTCCTCACAGACTGACAGTTTCCCTTGCTCTGACTTTCAAGACTACCCAACATTCCAAAGCCAGATCAATAATCATCAAACACTGTTTTGAGCTTGCTTCATTGTGGGCAAAGAATAAAGGGCAAAGTGCGAGCGAACATTTCAAACCTTCAGTCTGGCCCTACCCGATTTTTCCAATCTTTATCTTCGGTCTACAGGGACACACACCACTAGGCAAGACTCCTTCCCTCATTATCCTCCACGTTTCTCACTGACAGCACCGTCTCTCTAGACGGGTGCTCTTTGGCGATCAGAAGGACGAGCTTAGATCTCTGAGCTCGTGTTAATGCTCTATGATCCTTCTCGCTATCTGTCATTCCTCTCTAATAAAGGGCTCGGCAGTTTCATTTGGCATTAGGCCCTGCAAACTTGGCCGCTTTGGACAAGGTCAGTGTCCTCAGCTCTTACCGCAGCTATCCAGCAGACACTGGTTAACTTTCACCCAAGTCAAGCACGGGGCCAGAAAGCTAGGCCATAATGAAAGCAGCATCGAGGTGAAGATGCTCTAGGACCTCGCTTTCCCGCCAGGCACTCAAAACTCCGCCAGCACCCCCTAGGCCGCCTTAGACCGGTTCCAGCTGGATTTCCTCAGGCAGCTCAAACGCCAAATAGAATTCCTGCCCTGTCCCAGCCACAGCCAATCCCTGCAGCATCTCGGGCTCCCAAACCTCCCCGAACTCTGATTGGCTGACGGCGGCGGCCTGGGGGCGGGCACAGAGAGGACTGGAAGGTGGAGAGGGAGGTGGAGCCGGGCCGAGAGGCCAATGCGCAGGCGCAGGAAGAAAACGGATAAACAAACAAATAAAACCCACCACCCGTAGGCCAGCCCCGTTCCCCGCCCCCCTTCCCCCCCCCCCCTCTGGTCGTCTCGGGGGCTCCCCGCCCGCGCCGGCGTCTGGGCACGTCTGCCCCCCTAGTGGCGCTTTCCACGCACGTCTCCGCACTTAACCTCTGCGCGCCCGGCGTGGTGCTGGCGGCAGGGAGTGCGAGTCTGCAGCCGCAGCCCCG